GGGAAGATCTGCTGCTGAAATTAGCGCCTACTTATTTGACCCACCCACCTACCTAACCAACTAGTCAATCAAGTAATTTATTTCATTGCAGATCTTCCGAGTGCACTTTTTCCACTCCCAGTCCCTAATCACGGGTCACATCCTCCTTTCCATCTTCCTTCTCCTCGCTTCGCATTCCCTGCATTTTCAGGCCCACCTCGGAAGGAGAAACGTCGACTTTGCTTACTCAAACCCTTCACTCTCTTCTGGTAAGGTGTTTCCACACGTCTCTGCGTCACTTATGGGGTTTCTTCACTGACCTAAAGGGTAGAGGCGGCTCAGTAAAATCCAACACTGAAGTTATGCTTGCACACGCAAGGCGTAAGAGTTGAGAAGAGTTGGACGACTAGTAGTAGGGCTCCATGTCACCAATGTGGAAATCAAATCGTGGGAGATTAAAAAAAATAAACGCATTTAAATGCATCAGAAGCTAAGGTGGATATTATCCTACTGCGTACTCTTCCGTCTTATTTTGGACCTTGTATTTGGCCTCAAGCTTTACGGGTACTCCAGCGCCTTTTCGTCAATCGTAGGACAGAAATGCCGACCATGCAGTGAAGGGTCATTTTATTTCGTTGATCGTAGCACCTGCCGAGGATGTAAGTAAGATTCCATGCTTAAAGGGGAGGATTAACCAATGATATACCTCTAAAGTTCAGGCAATTCCCGTCTATGATTTGCTGTAAGCACGTTACAAAGGTGCCATTTGATCATCTCGCTTTTATTTTTGCTCCTAGATTCTCCTTCCACATTTCTAATAGGTGCAAGAGGGCAAGGGTACTTGATGGGCGAATGTAGGGCCACAAAACATGTACTCGTTACCATCGTCCTTCACTGTCTTGTGGCTCTCATCCTCTGTCTCCTTCATTCCCTGCGTCTCACGTAAGATTTCGCTTTCTCGTTCTGGCAAACCCATTTATTTTGTATTTTCTTGTGACTACAGTCATCCAGGAAGACACTTACACTTGTCCACTTTCTCCTCCTTCCACGACCAGGATAAGCGATTCCTCGCTGTCGACGCTCTTGATTCCCACCTCCTCCTGGATTGAATGGGAACGTCGTGGCTATCTGGGGACCATATGGATGGGTCCCTCGGACAGTCCTTTGGCCACGCTGTTGCCCTTTTACCTTATAAATTTCCTCTATGCCCTCCTCATTCCTCTCATCCTCCACTGCCTAGCTGACACTCAAACACCTCTCGCCCTCGCGTCTCGAGGTCTGAGCCGACTTACTGCGTCAGTTTGGACAAGCATTTCTACTTAATAATTGTAAGTAGGTTATTTATCCAGTGTTATTACTCTTAGGTGGTGGAGGAACAGGCAATGCAGATCATGTCTTGAGGCCAGGGCGTATCCAATCTCATTCTACATCGCACTGACTTGCATTTTCATCAGTTTTGTCTTCCATGATGGAGCCGCTTTTCTAGTCATTGCTTTGGCGTTGCTCCTAAATGTAGGTGTGCAACTTTGTGCCAATGGGTTTTTCCCACATTGCAACACCAGCTAACACAGTCTTCCCTTTCAGTGTATGTCTATGCTGACTAAGGATACGGTGAGAAATGATGTGGATCTGAAAACAACGCCAATGGATGGGCGGTTACAGATCCTCGTGGCAATACAACTGCGCTTTGCCCTTCTGCTCATCTTCTGTAGTTTCCTCAGCGTAGAGCAGTGGTTCACATTTGCCTTCAGGGCTAAAGTTGTCTTTGCTGGGTCAGTTTTGCCTACACGATATTTCTTTACCCTCTTTAGTAGTACGTCCATATTGTTGTGTGCTAATCGTAAGACGTGAGTCCTGACTATTCCAAAAGTTGTCTCAATGGCGTATTTGTGGCCTCTTGCGTTAGACTATTGTGGATGACAGGGGCAAATTATTTAAGCTCAACTTTTGACTGTAGTTATGTTACGACCATCTATGTGAATTACCTTTAATAAGGCACTACTTTCTTTACCTCTCATCATTTCGTTATTTGATTTATGGCACCTCCGGTCTTCCCTGGTGTCGTAGTAGTGCATCGTACTAGTGTGTTTGAAGATAAATTGTTAGCGTACATTGAAGTTGAGAGGCTACAGGCATGGTCGAAAGGCCCTGACAGATGTACTAATTGCGGTGGCTAAAGAGACTGTGGAATCAAATGCACAGGTAAATACCACCACAACATCGGTTTTACAGTTCTGATAGTTTATATAAGATACTGGAGAAAAGGCTGCTCACCAGAATCCGTTACAACTTACTTCCTATCCCAGCGGCATGGGAAGGGAGCATTCGTGTCCACTGGTGAATTTCTCCGGTTGGATGTCTTTGGCTTCTTGCAGCCTAATTACTTGTTCCAACTGATCAAACACATGAGAATCGCTGTAGCTATGAGATAGCTGGTGTAGTTTGGATCGAATGTGTTACTTCTACCTTGGCCTTAGTTCAAGTTTCAAGTCATTTTTACAAAACAGGACTTCCTTATGAGGCGTTTCGTTGTGTGAGGTGTCAGTCTGGTTGGTTTATCAGAAGATGGTTCAAAATGCAGTCACAGGTTATATAAGCCACCGAAAATAGTCATGACAATGATGGTGCATCATCAAGACAACAAAAAACCACAGTCACCATGGTAGATCGCATAAGGAGTGGCTTTACATGCGTAAGAGGATCAAAGTTAGTTAATTTGTATCATACTTCCATAGAGTTTGCAATAATCAGTTTTATTAATTTTCATCTTCACCACAACAGTTATAAAGTTAACTGGCTGCGCTCCTTCCAACCAACCGTCTTTCAGTTTTTGCTCCTTCTCACCACCTCGATGCTCCTTCGTTCACTCCCATCTCCGATCGTGTCGATCAAAGACCATCGTTTTCGACGTCTTCCACCACTGCTTCTGGCATTGGCACTGCTCATCACACTGATCGGCTGCCTAGTCTGTCTCGGTGGCTACTTACACACCGCAGACAGTTTACAAACCTGTCTTCTCATCACCCTGGCCACGGGCTTTCTTCTAGGTCTCTGGGTGTCGCTGGCTACGACGCCTTTTGCTGTCACCGCAGCCATGTCGTGTGGACAGGATCATGGTCACCTAGTGATTACTTTGTTGCCGTCGCGTGCTGTTTTTTAAATAAATTTGAATTATTACCTTCTCACTTCCTTTTCGCGTCCAAAGCATTTGCAAGGTGATGGAGATTTCTTGGATGTTGTAGGTATGCAGCACCTGATTTAACCTTTAAAGCTCTTGAGGGATATGCTAACCTGAAAGGCGCTCTTCCATCGTCTAGTGAAGCGTGGTATACCATGAGACGGAGGGAAGGTCGATTTAATGACTCAATATTGCAGTTTGTGCTTATGCCTAGGGTGTTTAGTTATCCTGCCATTAGTCTGGCTAAATGGATTAGCAGAGGGATTTGTTTGGAAGATGACGCCGGGGACCTAGACAGCATTTTACAACTACTGCATTACAAATACTAGCCGCTCTTGATGAGAGTAGTCGCCTAAGAGCAACACGTGGGAGATAGGGGCATGTTGTGCTCTGAGATTGTGATCCCAAGTACATTGAGAAAGACTTCAATTTGTTCTAGTCTGGATTTGACGGTCATTATGTCGAGCTTGAGACTGAATTTGCCGCCACAATTCTCTACGGTTTGGAAATCTTTTTGGAATTTCGCCCAAATTCAGCCATCTACAGCAGATATCTTCCTTCTGTGGGACCATTCGTGTGGTATTCCGGTAACAAAAAAGCAGAAAATCGGCTAGCTTATTTGATATGTGTTTTAAAATGTGGGAAGTTTAAGTATATAGGGGTTTCCTACTCCTAGTGGCTAATTCCATGCACGAACAGACTTCTCTGAAAAAATCTTTCAGCATCAAAGACTGCCTGCTGCCACGTCCGCACACCAACACAACCATCCCTCCACCAATCACTGGCAATCCAACAGACAATAACGAGGGCGCACAAACCAACGTCGTTCAGGCAGTTTTGGACTCCCTGGTGCTGTTTACTTTGGCTGTGAGCCTCTTCTGCGCAGCTACTCTCAACACTGAGAAGCTGACTGAAGTGGAAGTGGAAATTTTCGCCGTTCCCTAAAGTGAATTCGTGCGGAAGGGCGATAATGTGCACGTCTTCTACACCGGCCGGTTGTACGAAAATAGGAAGTATTATGACTAGAATGTCGGTGGTGAACCCATTCGGATAACCGTAGGTGCAGGTCAGATCATTGCCGAATGGGAGGATGGTCTCATTGGGTAAGTTTGACTGAACTCAGAATAATTTGCTATGATTGGTTAATTTTAAACAATGCAATCCAGTCAATCAATTATGAAACTTTATAGTAGCTGCTGGTGAGTGGGTCTTACGAAACGAACTCCTTCTAATCTCTAACGTAATTTAGAAGATTTTGAGCTGATTCTTAAATCACACCCGTTCATAAAATGCTCGTGTTCCTCACCTACGAGACATTCATCAAGCAACGAATGTTGTCCATAGTGAATGTTGAATATGTTTGTTGGGATGCTTTCGTGAGAAGTTTTCTATTATTATCCTCTTTTGGTATTATTCTAGTATCTGTGAAGGTGAACGACATCGGCTCCGCATTCTCAGTTGGATGGGCTACGGCGATCTCATTCGTACCAACTCTGATCTTGATTTCGACATCAAAAATTCGGAGAAATAAATAGGCTAATGTCCTAACATTTCTACAGTGTCTTTTTTCAAAAGAATGCTGTATTTACACCTCTAATTTCTGCCTTAGTTGAATTCTGTAACATTTTTGAATAAAAAATGGTGTTTCTACCCAGGTTCGATCGCTGCAGCATTGACAACTTACCGAGTCGATAGTCAGTAATACTGGCAAGCATGCAGACGGTTATTCATCAACCATACAGGCAGTGTTGAATGCCTTAGAAATGCCACCTTCATGAAGTGCAGCCACCTTTTAATTGACTTCGGTTATAAAAACCTAGCGACAAGGAAATAGTGACTTGGAAGGATGAACTATACCCCCATGTTTGCAGAGCAATTGGCCGTGGTCTCAGAAACCAGTAAGAAGAAGTTAATTCATACGTACAGTTTAAATTTGCATTACATTCTTTCAGCGCATATTGAATGGGACGATTTTTCAACTAAGCTGCTCTAAATCCGCAGCAAGAATTATTGAGGGATGAAGGAAAAAAAATGAATAAAGCGAAACTACGTATACAGGTGGTCTGATCAACCCAAACTGACAGACACTAACACTGTTCCCTGAAAAAGGAAGGAAAAACCAAGCTGTAATAGTAACGCTATTCGTAGGACCCAACACACAGAATAGCCATTGGCTCACACGCGAGAGTAAATAGCTAATCCCCTCTTCGGTATTCAGGATCCAATCGGACCCTACCAGGTTGTCAGTACGTCTGCCCTTTATCGTCTTGGCCGCACCCTTGTTCCCACTTGAGTGCATGTGGGCATCTCAACACCCAGCTCCCTCCCAACTGTAGAAGTAAAGATGTGCTATGATGGGATGGCTTTGCATTATCCATATTTAGTGTGCTCAGTTTTTCTTCCCGTAAGCCACTGCATAATTAAATGTAAAGGTGAAACTGCAGCCAGACGTTTGGCTTTCATCCGTCTATTTCCATTTAACACTTCCTAATTACTTCAAAGTTATTTTAACTGTAATCATATGGATTCACATCCTCTGCAACCATGTGCATTGATGTGTCACATCACCATTTTTTGATCGGGTTGAGCAGTAGACGATTGAGATCAACTGGCCATGAAGGTAGATGACCTACCACTGAAGGCGCATGGGGCCTGTGGATTTGGGATTAGTCTCAGTATGGTGGTATAGATGCAGCGCCTCGAGACCTCACATAGACAAGAAAAAGCACAACTCTTAGTTTGAATCTGTATTTTTGACGTATTGTAGGGCTCGGAGCCACCGGCATGGCCGGAGGCCAGGCTGTCCAGCAGACGTGCAATGGCGGTGCCTCCACAATTGATGGCTTCACCCAAATCGGGGGTTAAACAAACAATTAGCGTATTACACAAAAGATCGAAAACACTGGAGTGGAATTATAGCAGGTCATGTAGTTTAGAGCCAGCATGATTTTATCTTCAATTAATCCGTTTCAAAGTTTCCTTTTTAAATTGGACAATCTCTAATGTCGGGCGAAAATTTAAACTGGTTCGTTCTTCAACACTAGTATTGTTTCGGGAGGAAAATAACTGTTCAATATGCTTTAAAGTCACAATTTTACTACCTTGTAAGTAGGATCGTTCCTATCGCAAGGAAAAATTGCTTAATGGTAAAGAGATTTCAATGTGGTAGAACTAAAGAGATTGGTGAGAGCGCAATCACTAAGTTGCGACAAGGGGAGGAGGCTTTGTGGCCGTGGCCTCAAAACACCGAAAGCATGCTAACAACTTTCAAGCATGTCTCCCTAAGGCCATTGCCATCCCACGTCAAGAACCGGAAATGATGCCCCTAAAACCAAAAATTAAGCTTGCACCAGAATACCACAATCAACTTATCCCGCTGTCACACACACGCGCACTGGCCCGTAATCTTGCCAACAAGCCCGGCTCCCCTCTTCACCGATTTTTTTAACGTTGCTGCTTCATTTCACTTTAACTTTCATTTCGAGAAGAGGTCGCGTTCTACTCTAACATGCGTTTTACAAAAGAGAGGATTAAACAACCGGTAGTCGAAACTGTCGTATACTTTTTTTCTCATATAATCCCACGTTTCCATTCTGAAATCTTCCTTATCCAAATTCCAAAGTCTGTATCTGATTCTAATGCTCACTGTGTAATCCACGTCTGTTTGACAATACCTTTCAGGGGAGAAGCGGTCACTATATATACGATTCTCATGACTGATCGGAATCCCGTGACCCCGGCGGAGAAAACGAACTCCGAAATTTCGACTCACCTTCTTGTGCTTTTTCATTTAGAATAAATTATTCTCCACCATAGATTGAAACTCTTCACCAGCATTTCCCCTTTACTCTCCTCGAAAAAGTTAAATACTTAGTGTGGGGCTAAAAAATATACCATTTTGCATATTTCATACATACTTGCACACGCATTTCATCATCAAATTATCGCATTAACTCACGCAAAAAGATAGGCATAAATGGGAGAGAGGTGTGAGATTTAACCGGAGAGAGGAGAACTTCAAGCACGTGAATGATGAGGTTGATGGTGTCGATGCAGATGTTGCATCCACGGTGCCCCCCCTTCCCCCATATGATGTGGGCCCTCCCCCACTGTTGACCCCGGCACAATCATAATTGAGTCCGAGAGGGAGCCGGGAGTGACCGGTGAAGTAGGAGGGGGAATGTAATCCAGATCCAAGTCAGGGTCGACAACTTCAAGAGCCGCTGCTCCACCCGTTGTCGCTTCCAATACCGTCGCTGCAACATTCCACACATCATCCGTGGCACAGACGCCCTCAACTGTCACTGTAGACGTCTGTAATCCACCTCCTTCAGAGTCGACGGTAGCAATAGCTGCGGGATCGCCAGCTTCAACAACGGTGGTGACGGACGTCTCCCGAAGCGGTGGAATCATCTCCTCATCCACCGTCACAGAGAGTTGTCGGAGACGACGGAGCATCACCTTACCGAGTTCTGTCCACTCTGCTGCTTCGGCTAGGTAGAGAGGATCTTTGACCATTGTGGCGGCTTCTGCGGTCGATCCCTTATAAAGGTCATGCATCTCGCCTTCCATTTCGTTGTCACTAACGGCCTCATTGCACAGTTTGGAGGAGGAGGCGAGAGAGCCACTGATACCACCGTGGTAGGGAGAGTCGCATCGATTGTAGGCACTAGTGGTCATCATCAAATCTGATTGTTCGTTATTTTTTTCCAGATTTATGGCTTGATAGTCGAAGGATCGATCCGATAAGGTGGTGGCAGGATCTACAGATGGAAAAGGGGGGCCTTTGAAGTAAATGTTCTCTAATATACTACAAAATTAACGTCTTTTACATTAAAAATGAAGCAGTAAGTGGTGTACTCCTAGCATTTCTAAAACAACTTCTCCAATTCTGAAAGAAACAAATGAACCCGATACTAAATACTATGCCAAATTGAGAATTTTGGCCATGTTGTAGTAAAGAATTACTTGTTATGACTGAATATGAAAGTACATGATCCGTGTGACTCTCCCATGATTCGGTCTTCATACCCAAATTGATCAGGTCTAAATAAATTAGGTCCCAAAATTTCATTTGGCAAGCCACAATTGTAGCCAAATTGAGCGAATTTCTAGCTAAAAAGCCTTACTTCCTGCTTTCTCGTGAATCAAACCACCGGTAGACATCTCCGAAGGGCTAAGATGGAGATGGAGATTTTGAGGGTATTGATGGGGTTGTTGTTTGTTACGGGGGTTATGAAGGTCGGAGTTGATGCCCTGCTTCGCCATCGGCGTGGCACGCAACGGCCGCAGATTCGATGCCGGTGGCACACTTGCGGGTGGCGGTGTTGCAGAGCGCTGGCGCGACGATGCTAGCCCTCCAGCACCGACAATAGGACCAAATGTTGGAAGGGCGAACCGTGTACCTCGGTGTCGATGGGTCCGCTTTCCCGAACTGTCGGCAGGATGTGGGACCAGATGAGCAGTGTTCAGATCCATTCGCGAGCCCGTTGGACTTGTGCGTGGACTGTCCGTTTGTGGAAGATGCAAGGTGTAGATGTCATCCAAAATAGTAGTATATTCTCGATGAGCTGGTTGCTGTGAAATCAATGGTAGTCTAGCGTGTCGGCCTTGGTGGCCAAAAAACGAAGTTTGGCGCCGTTGGATACTAAATGAAAATGGAGAAAGAGTGGGGAAAAATTGATGAAACTGTAGGGTGGGGAAAATTCACGGAATCGAGTTAAGTGTGCAGCGATTTTCGCGGTACAACACAAAAGCCGCTAAAAAGGAGGAAATAAATTACATTCAGACAGAGGGAAGAAAGGAGTGGAGCTAAGTAATGAAGGACTTCAGTGGAGTGGAGACAAGTTTTTTAACAAACTTACGTATCAAGTTGACTAGACGTCGGAGGTATCGGCTGAGCAGATGGACTGGGAGTTGGCGAGATGGAGGGGGCATGGCCACGTCGCAGTTGACGTTGACGCTGGCAGTGGGTAAAAGGACTGCGTTCTCGATCCTGCATTCGAATCTGTAGCTGCATTTGTTGTTGCCGTTGTAGTTGTTGTTTTTGTAGACGCTGACATTGCAACTCCCTTACGCGTTGAGCAAGGAGATGAAGCCAATCGAGCGCGCTGTCACCGTTTAATGGCATTAAACTATCCCTGGACTCTGATTCCGCCTCATTCTCTTTCTCTTCACCGCTGTCACAACCGCTATTACCATCCAACGCCGCTGCAGGTCGTCTCTGTTCTTGGGCCTCCTGTCCGATCAGAAAAGGTACTGACTTGATACGTTGCTAAGCCTCAGTCAACCGGAGAGAGCAGTGAGGATAGCAGCCGATAAAACAGCACATTTCAATAGGTAGCCCAAAGGGAGGAGAAAAGACAAGAGCTTAGTAATGCATGAAATAAGTGTATGACACCCTAAGTTCCCTTAATTTGAGCCAAATTGGACACAAGGGAAACAACAAAGAGCAAGACAATGAAAAGCAATCATTTGCGTTGCAGCATCAAACGAAAGAGATCGAGTTAGAAAATAAGAGGAAGAAAGCAAATGTCAGACCTCAATTCGCGGACTCTGTGACCAACACACTCCGCTTGAAGCCGTATCATCCCCACTGCTTCCGGAATCCGCAGTTAGAAAGGTATCAGCAGCGGTGGAGGTAATGGTGGTAGCAATTGCCTCTTTTACCTGTTCATTCTTCCCATCCATTACCACTTCTTCATCATCACCCTCTTCTTCGGTGTGTGAAGGAAGGTTTGTAGCAAACCCACAGCGGTGTTGCGGTTGCTTTTGCCGACAGTGAGAACGGAGGGAGGAAACAATGGGGTTACTTCCATCTCCGCGCCTCCGATTCCGCAATGAAGTTTCGTCGTCACCATCTGAGCCAATATCACCGGCTATAGGCGAAATCATAACAATGGTAAGGTGATCAGTTCAGCTGGATAGAAGTTGGTCCTTTTCTATCGACGAAGTACGAATCCTATTGATGCATTAGACAACAAGCTACCAACCCTATTAGAGGTTTGTGTTACAGAACATCCAACCCACTGGCGTAAACAGCAGCTCGTTTAAATGCCACTCAGCACTCACCAGCATCTTTATCCATTGCGTTTCTGAGGAGCCAGATCACACTGCCCAGTAGAGCGGGGTCACTCTCCCCTTGGTGATCGAAAGGTGTGAACTGACTTTGCGTGTTTACCATAGTGGCCCCCACTGCTGTCGTCGCGATAGCCTTTTTGTGTTGATACTCATCAAGCCATGAAATTGCCCTCTCCTGTCCTGCCAGTATCTCTTCCTCCAGTGAATGGAAATGGCCCTGCAGCTTCTGTTGTCGAAGGTGCACTTCGCCCAGGCGAAACTGCATTGCTGCTAACCTGTAAGGAAAAATTTTCGGCAATTCAAGATCCAGAAAAATCTGATAATATTACTAAAGGGTCGATGACAGCTTGAGATCTAACTCTAGAAACTCCCAAAGCTGTCGATATCAATATCGTCTGAAGGCTAGACTGCACAAAAACTGTACGACTAGAATTCGCAAGGGATGAACCCTTTCATGGGAACGACAAACATATTCACTTAAAAAAATCTGCGATTTCAAGAGGGTATTGCATGGTGAGTACCAATGACAAAATGAAGCCCCTACTCTGAAATTTTTCTTCATATTGACGAATCCTCTTGTGCCGACGCGTTGCAGATATTAACCAAAGGCTGGAATGACTGTGGAAATGTATTAGGGAACTAAAGAAAAAAATCCTGCCCCATTTTCACCCCTTGAAGTTCACTTTTGCTTGTATACAATGAAGGTTCCGGTTCAACTGTCAGTACGTCAACATTAAAGTGCTATTACGGTCAATAAATCGCTACTTATAAAGATAAATAAGCAGAATGGTTGGTTAGTGACCCACCTGGAATTGATATTTTCGAGTTGCAGCTCCGACTGTTTACGCTCAGCCCGCTGCTTCTCCCGCCAGTAGTCCTCCACGCATTCTTCTTCAAAGTCGTGCAGCTTTTCAACCTCCTCTGGCTTCAGGAAGAGTTCTTTGGAAAGAGTAAAAAAGCACTTTAAAATATAAGATGTTTTAATGTCTGTCTATGGGCAATCTATTTTCAAACAGGGGTAAGGTGCAAACATCCGAAAGTCATTAGTCATACATCCATTTTTTTCTAAAGAACGCGTTTTTAACGGCGACAAAAACCCAGTGGGTTACAAGTAAGACAAGGAAACAAAAAATATCAATGTAGTACTCACTGAGACCGTCTGACTGGTGACCTGATATGGATGTGGCAGTACCAGGTGCAAATAGGTGTCCAACATCAAAGGAGTTCCCTTTAGATGATGAATGCACTTCTGAAGATGACGACGACGAGGATGACGAACTACTTGACGATGACGAGGATCTATGGCGAATCTTCTGACACCGTTTCCGGAAATCTCGACGACAATGGCGATAACGTTTTAAGCATCGTGGAACACATTGGCAGTGGTGGTGTTCTCGACAATATCTTTGTAAAGACGGGAATCAATAAAAATAAACAAAAAATGGCTACAACAAGTTTAAAAGTCATGTTTTTATTCTACCTACCTATAGACTCCCCGACAGACAGCGTAGATCCATGAGATGATAACGAAAGGTGGTGGGAGAAGAGGCCGCGACTCGTATTCAATAATTATGGAGTAGCGAAGGTACTTATAAATGAGCTCTGACTGTACTAGTACACGAGAATAGATACTGTTGAATACGGCGATGATAACACTGAGCATAAGAACGATAGAATAGAGGAGGTATATAACGTCCATAATTGGTACCATCTGAAAGAGAGGTGTTTCATCCAGGTTCACGCCCCATTCCGCGGCTGCAGAATGAAGAAAAATGGTAAGGTGGTCAAATTTAAGTTATTTTTTGAGAAGTAGAATGGTGATCTCTAATAGATCAATAAGAAACTAGGAGACTTATGAAAAACTCCACTTTTATCAATCGCTACGAAGTAAAGTTTTTGCATCTGTGAAATGCTTCGATAATCTGCCAAAGTAGATTTAAATTCAGTATGCAACAGCCTAGAATCCACGTACTTAAATAAAATCAGTAGACGACAAGACTCACGATCAATCTTGGGGGCATAGACCTCGCCATAGAGCATGAAGTAGGGCTCCAAGAGGATGTTCTTAATACCCTCCACAGTGACATGGGTTCGATTCATCACCATAATGCCTTCACGCAGAGTACCAAAGGCCACCAGGGGTAGAAAGACGAGGCTTAGAAGTGGGATCATCGCCTGCAACATCTTCACGATGACGTAGATATAGGGCCCCGAGAAGCGCCAAATTTGCATCAACTCAAGAAATCGCATCAACCTATCACAATACAGTTTTTTACTAAACTGAACAAAAATTGGTAGCGACTTTGATTCCCCTTACTCAATCTCTGCTACAAAGATCACAAAATATTCACCGAAAAATATGTGCGTCGAGCTGGAGTCAACCTAGTTTCGAGGGAATAACCTGAAAACACGGAGCGAAGCACCTACCAGAAGACACAGCAGCAGACGAGGATGTTGCGCCCCCAAAGAAAGACAATGCGATTCCGGAGGCCCACCATACGCACAATCACTCCCAGGACGGAGAAGAAACTGAGCACGAAGTCGTAGACATTCCAGAAGGACGACAGGTGCACCCACATCTTCTGGCAGTACCTCACGCCTGGCGAAAGCGTCACCTACTCAAACAGCATATGGATAAGGCGATTGTGTACACAGCACTGTAAGTAGGTTAGTTTCAATCGCTCTATGAAATGTCCACAAATCTAGCTTTGCTGACAAGCATCAAATAGGTGCGAAGAGATAAACAATGCTTTTTTACTACAGAAGTCTTTCCAGTGCACTATAATTGGCCGCCCATCTATGTTGCTAAGCCTTCAGCCTTTCTGTGTGGTTGTAGAAAAGCTACTTCTAGACCCTCGTGTACCTTATATATTCTGTAGCAATTCAGATGCCAGAGTGGTGATCGCGTTGGCTGGATTATGACAGTCACAGGATTATAGGATTACTGGAAGGATTAAGGATGGAACTCAAAATAAGATAGCTATGTAGCAAGAGAATAGAATTTATCTTACCTATTCTAGCCTCGATTCTTTACCTAATTATGACACCTATGCTACAAGACTAGTCTGCCCTATACAGTTGTCAAAGGTCAAAACTCAGGCGCAATAATGAAGGCAGAGGTACTACCAGAGTAAAGGAAAGGAAACTCACCTCTCTGAATTTATCAATGGCGTAGGTGAGGATGTGGAGGTAGATGTACACCTCCAGGGCATTCAACGATTGGTAAGGCACGCAGATAAGGCAGTAGCAAATGAACATAAGCATGAAGACCAGGTAGAGTATCTAGGCGGAAAACAACAATGTCATTGTGTTGGTATTATCACTTGACATTGAAATAACCCAAACAAAGCAGATACGCGGATAATGACGGAGGTAGCAGTTTGGTGAAAAGGGATACGATATTTTCTATAAATGATTGTAAAGCTAATGAATAAAAAAAGGAATTGAATAAAAGCCAGAATATTGTAACGGAAGTAATAATAAGGTGAACAGCCTACCGTGATCATTGTGCAAGGACAACAACACTCACCACATGAAGATAGAATCGAGTAACAGGCGCGGAGAAGAACTCGTACACCTTTTTGCGCCACGACAGTTGATGCTGCTGCGTCTCCTTCGGTATGTCGCCCGCACCTGTATCCGCAGCACCGCCATTGGGGTAGTAAGAGATGTGCGCACCCATCCCCACGACTCCATTTGGTACAGGGCGATGGGCATTCAATGAATAACGAGAGGCATTTGGGGCTCCATGTGCATTTCGCGTAAGCACTGGTGTTGCAGAGAATCGTGATCGCATCTCGGAGGACTGATTCCGAGGCGGCAAGGGAGGCTCGCTTCCCGTTGAACCTACGCTCATACTAATTCAAGGCAAGAAGAGAGTGCCGACAATCAAATTCCTTAATCAGGAAGAGGAGGGAGGAGCGAATGAAGTAGTAAGCGAAGCCTACCAAAAGTATTCTGAGCCTCTACGTGGTCCCGCCGCTTCGAGATTGGTAGGACAAGAGTGGCGAAGAGGTTGAGAGGTCTGTGTCGAGTTAAGCGGAAGCTGACGTCGTCTACGGTGACGAGTTGGAATCCCTCCCTCCTCCTCCATTGCAATGATTCTGAGATCACCCATGGATTTAGAGTTACGTCGATTGGTGCGGTTTCGGTGCGGCTGTTTGAACTCAACAATGGGATTCTCGGCATCCGGTGGTACATCTCGTGGTGACGACTCGATCGACTGTTGTGGAGCAGTGCTTTCGCCTTAAGAAGACGGCGACACGGTAATTAAATGTTACATCAATCAAACATGTCAGTCATTTAAATCGCGTTTTAAGTAATGTAAAGGGAAGCCATTAGTTAAGAGAGTTACTGGATTTATTGAACTATTTTTGGTTCCTTAATTCAGCACTAACGGGGCAGCAGCAGAGGCACTATTACAGATAGTGAGGATGAGGAAAGAGTAGTTTGTAAAAAAATGCTGCTTACCTTTATTCTTATCTAACGAGGAGCTTGACGTAATGACGCTGTATTCCCTCCCCAAAATGGTGACCCCATCCAACTTTATAATTGGCAGGGACTTAGTCGCCTTAATCACAACTTCGTCCTGCAAAGAAGAGAAAGAGGAAGAATGACTGTAACTGCAGACTCCTTTCTATCAGACTTGAAGTGGATTCATTTACCCGCGGCGGTGTGTTACACAACTATTCTCGCTGCAGCTGGAATAGCTAAGAAGCTGCTAATAGCAGTCTCTTTGAGACTATCAAAGATTGGGAAAAATGTTCCCGAGAATAATCCTACTGCTTTCAAGGAGAATATGGAGTGGTTCATTCACTCATACCAGTTTCTTTACAACGTTTTCCGCTATTGCTAGGAAGGCAAAGATATCTTAACTCATTATTAATTTCAAGGATCGTAGTCAAAAGATGGCGCATAAGAGATGATCTTGTCACCTTTTTGATGCAAGACATTTACACCGGTGTCATCTAAAACCGTTTTATGACGGTTAATAGAATGCCTTCGTTAGGAGAATAAACTTCACCTACTGGAAGAGAAACGCAATTCCTATCGGGGTCATGGATAGAGATGCCTGTAATCCTAGAAATAGGTTTCTGTTTGATTTTCTTGAAGTTCTGACTGATGCCTAATTTCCAAAAATTCGAGAGGGTCATGCTCCCGCTCAGTCCTGCCTGATTAGCCCGTATCATGGAGAGATGATAACCGCTCCAAATCCAACGCTAATCAGTGACTAGGATTGTCATTGAATGAAATTGCCGAGACACCTAAACGCATACTGAGGCAGTCTAACTCTTTAGCCATTAGACAGCCACGTACTGACCGTAGCATCTTTACGTAGTCATTACGGCGAGTACCACTTATTTGGATGGTGGTCTCAATAAGATCCGGGAAGCTAGCCCACATAACCCGGGTCATGAAAATTGGGAACCCGATTTGTGACAGTTGTTGAAGCGCTTTATTGTGGTACGTTAACTTTTTGTTTGACTCTCAGTTTTGGTAACAATCCGCTTGGGAGCTCTGCCATTGTACCGCTGTCGGGCGGCCTGGCGTTGGAGCCGTGCCAGTAGCCTCAATACCTTCTGTAAGTCAACAATACATATTCTCCCGAGTATTATGAATTCTTTCGCCCTCTAGGAAACTGCAATAAAGCTATATTGGTGGCAGTGGAAAATGAATCTGATCTTAAAAGACATCTATCTGGATTTCAATTGTTGGGTGTGGGGTGGGAGAAGTTCCTATGCTTCGGATGAAATAATCTATGACGATTCCTAACAGAAGGGTTGGAAATATCTACCTTCAGCAACTACCCCAGCTCCATGGTCTGCGGGAAGGCTGTTAATAAGTGAAGCGACATTAACGGTGGCCGTGAACCATCTGGAAAAGTTCGTTACAGAGGTGTCTATCGTATTCAGGTATCGTACCGTACCTCCATTCAGATATCAGTTATGTGGATCCGTGAATGCAACACTGTTAAAATTTAGTTTTTTATGACAAAATAGAAAATTCGAGGCAGGAGATAGAATTAACTTGTCATCTGAATTGGCCTGACATGAGTAATTCAACAGTATTAACAGCCAAGAATGAATCATCGCATTGGTAGCGGATGAGATGGTAGTTAATAAACCATCAAGGGACAGCTAAAAAGTCCCCATTTTCTGAATTTAGAGCAGCTGAACAGCAATGATATTCCTCTTCCTCATCTACTCTCAACGGCTGATGACTGACTAGTCAGCCAACTGATCGGAGAGCTAAGCAGGTAGGCAAGTAGAATGCAAAATTACGTTTTACGCACCTTAAAAGAAACTTCGCTCGAAGCCTTACACTCATTCACCATTGAGACCTTGGTCATAATGGCTATTTCAGACGCCGTTGAATCCCGCACGACTGGCGGTACAGAGTATACAGACTCGTCATTAACGACGGTGTCGGAGAAAGCTCGGGTTCGGGAAGGCTGATTAGCATAATGATTGCAGTGCTGGAAGCCGTCTCCCCTCATACCATTCTCCAATGTAACGCAATCGTACGTTGATGCTTCTTTTGTAGGCGTCTAAAGAGGATAAACGGTGTTCTTGTTTGAAGGCAACTGACTGTTGGACTCCTCGATCTAGCCTAAATTAAAGATGCGTGCTACTTCAAGAAAATACTTTTTTTGGTCTCTTGCAATCCGGAACTCTATCTTCGTCCTGTAACGTAGTTGGGGATAATTTTGCAGTCACACTAGCAAGAGCATCGGCAGATAGTTCCACTTTCCACCAGTTTGATGCAAATCCGAAACGTCGTGAAGAGAGAGCAAGTGTGCTGTGGATGGTTGAACATGAAGACATACCAAAGAGGGGCATATAAATGCGCGGTTTCATTCCTCACCACGGTACACCGCTAGCAAAAACTCATTATTTGTCCACTTGAATAATTACTTAACACCACAAACACTTGTTGATTGCTTCACGATTCCAACTGGCTTCTAAGTATTACAATTTCTGAATTCACCTTAATTAATACAAAAGCGATACAAGAAATGAACACGAATCGTATGCGGAAGGACCTACGCCGACAAATACACCGACCAAATAGTACAGAGAACTATTTATACACTAACCATCTTCGAATGCCATCTGCAACACATTGCGTTTCCCTTTTCCCATTAGGACAGAATGTTCGATGTATTTTAGTGCCAACAGAGAAAAATATCATATTACCTTAGTTAATCAGCAACATTTTTTCATTATTTTTGTTTAACAATTTGGGTTGATGATTGCAAACTAATCTCATTGAGACCCTAATCCTGAATCAAATCAAAGTAATTCACCAAAAAGCTAGCAGCGGGGACAATAATGTGACAGAAATTTACTTCTAATGACATGTCATTATGGCTCACAAGGAAACATGAAAGTCGTCCCCGTGGACAAGTTGTGTGCATTTAATTATGTCCCTGAAACACACCTGGAAGGCTCGATCCATCGGCAAAGGCTCAGAACCGGGTCGTAGAGGTGGCACTGGAGTGGTAAGGGTTGAATTTTCCACAATTCTAGTTTCCCCGTCATCTGTGCTGCTGCGACTAAAATTGAAGAGATGCGGGGTGGTGAATAAGTACCGGGCATGGTGTGCGTTCATCATCAGAAACACGAATCCTTCCTTGATCTTAGAGACCAGTTGAAGTCATGAAAGCTAGCATTGCGCCATATTAATTTAGACTGACTGTTCCTCAGATGATAGACTATGTGCCTTCCTCTGATGATTTCAGATCTGCGGATGGGGATCATAGCAAACCCAGAAGTCCGTCTAGGTCATACAAGCAGATTGTACTACTTTTTACACTCATGGCCTGTCTAACTCCATAATGCCAAGACATTTGGATAGAAAATACGTTAGCCTTTGAAAGGATTCTAAAGACTGCTCATTAAAGCCTAAAAAGGTGGTTTTTAAGCTGTGCTTGCAATGATACTATCCCGGACCCTAGTTAATTAGCATCGTTTCCTGGGTCCATATAACACCCAAAGCACTGTTTTAGTGAGATTGCTTTTGGCTTAATGGAATTTACTGTTAGATAGCGGACAACTAATTTACGAGAAAGCGTTTGCAGATTGCATTATCTAGCATTAATTATCTATTCTTTCCTACCCTTTCAAAAATGTAATAAAACACTCTGAAAAGGTAGTGAAACAGCCTCCCTTGATAACAGACGTGCCTGAAAAGTGAGCTTTACAGAGTTAGCGGATTGAAAAATCAGGAAATTGGTTTGGATTCGACAGTAAACGGAATCTGTGAACATACCTAGGGGCCACAAGATGTACGGTAGCAAAACTAATCACCTAGGACTAATTTAGCAAATAAGCAGTGCATACGTCCATCTCTAATTAGGCGTGATCCAAAGGGGCTGCTTTTCTAAAAGTATCTGGTCGTTGAAAACAAACTCATGGAGAATGAGATTGGCTAAATAAGCCGATTTTTTCAAATTCATCACCATAGGGTCACTAGTGGCAGCAAAGAAACAAAGTCGATTACTATGGCTAAGATAGGCTACGAGAGGACTTAAAATCATCATGGCTAAGCGGTAGACCACCTAAATGGGCAGATCTTCTCAGACTTATCGCTATGGGGCACAAATCCGACATTTCAAGAAAGATTAGGATAGCTACCTTGACGAAGACGAGTGGCTAGACGATGAAGACGACGACGAAGAAGACGAAGAAGAGGAGGACGAATTATCCATCTCATCTAAATGTTCTTCCCACGTTTGTGGCTGTGCCGACAGCTCCTCTCTTGTCTTAAACTCCAGGAACTTCGATGAAAATGACGCAAAGCAGAGTGCTATGAGTGGATACAGCGGCGGCAGGGAGAGACCAAGTAGAATAAGAGCTATTTTGGCCGAGACGAAGCGACCCTCGCGCAGTCCTCCGTACCAAAGGTCGGAGAGGATAGCCTGCGCGCAGGGGTGTGCGATGAAGGACTTAGACTCGCACATGTGTGCCAGAGAGAGGCATGTATTGCAGGAGAAGTTGCGCAGCTCGTATGTCAGCAAGCGACGCGTCTGGGCAGAGTCGTGACGGTGGCAGTGTTCTTGTAACTCTACTGCCAGGTTCTCGAAGGCTCTTGAGACGCAGTGGAGACGGATAAAGTAAAGAATGCGTCCATAGTGCAACAAAGCCGTATCTCTTTCCAGCTGTTACTTAAGTACGCAAGTTCTTGTTTCTTACAATCACCACCAATACAATCCGAGCCAAATGGCATGGACTTTCGAACCCTTTTCGACCCCCGCATTAAAAGGACGTTTTCAATTTCTGAATTGCCTTATTCTGTCCCAAAACTTAAGAGAAGCACACAATTGTCTGCTCCCAAAAAATAACAGCTTTGACTATCAGTAGGGATTATTTTTAAGCAAAACAACTGCACGAACAAAGGCAACAGTCACATGGCAAATTTAGGATTACAAAGTAACAATAATTTTTAGCGGCAAAGTTATAGACGATGGAGCGTAAAACCGACTGCTTAAACAAAAAGAGGACTTACTCCTCCTGAGCACGAATAACTTTTATCAGCTCCGTTTCCGACTCCACGTCCATGAATTTGCGCATGCCACGAAGGATTCGCACGGAAAGCAACGCCTAGAATAGATGATTAAAGACCCTAGATCATATTATTAGCAAGAGATTAAGTAGCCGATAGGGGACTTATGTGCACTTAAAAATTTTCAAAACCTAAGCACCCCAACCCCTTTCCTCGTTTTTCATTTTACAACACAAAAGCTTCAAGGTAAATATAGTTGAAAAAGGAATATCACTAATTACACCGATGTAAAGATCATATCTTTCTTAAATGACAGCAGATTTCGAGATTTAAAAGAAATAGAATGAATATATAGATCTGAGACATATGGATGGACAGTCAGACAAACAAGAAAAGAAACTCCAAGAGCCACTCACCTTAGCGATAGCCTCCTCACCTGACAACACCATGAATCGAGCCAAAGAGAAGTGCCAGGTGAGAAGAGCCCACTGCAGCAGTTCGGTGTAGGGATAGCGGAAGCAGACCATGTCGTCATCAGGGACACCCTCGTAATAGTCCATTGCACCATCACCGATAGTATTGGCAGTGAGCATAATGGAGGGGAAGGTAGCAGTGTTGCTATTGGCGATCCACTCAGCCGTTTCTGAGGCCGTCCATCCTGAAGCGGACCCCGCCTCACTCCATTGCCGTCCGAGTGGACCTGGATTCGATCCGCCGTATGCCGACCAGCGCTGTCGTGCTCTTCCTGGCTGTAAAAGAGGTAGATAAATTCACAGGGTAAAAGAAATTCATCTAACAAGTTTTTCATTCACTGAACCAATCCATTACAGTCGGTTCAGTAATTCATTTCACTCAAAGGATATTCAAAACTTCTACTTTCCTTTTTGAAAATATTTCGTCATTTCCTCCAGGCCTTCAAAACGAACATCGACATTGGTTTTAAAATCATTTCACAAGTAAGGGGGAGAGGATATCGGGCAAAGCATGTTAGGGCAGCAGTTTCTTCATGCCGCTTTTTACTCACTGTGCCTTCATCGAATAAATCCATTAAATTAGGTTTTGTAATGTTGCAGAAATAAAGGCAGACGATTCTGAACTATAAGCTGTTAGGAAGAGGCATTACTTACACAATTGTTTGCAAAGCTAAGAAACCCTTTAAACACTTCATTTTAAGATTCCAAAGTCAAGCTAAACTGACCGGTTTCGCCGGCACAACGATAGTTCGAAGATGCGGATCGAATTGTTTTGAACAATATGGGTGCTGATATCCATTTCCGATCACCTGCTCCAACATTTGGCCAATTGACCGAAGCGAGATGTTCTACAACCCAGGGGGATTCGATTCAGTTCTAATCACTTAACTAGAAAATTTTGAAGTCTCATCATAAGGCATGCGGGTAGAACTTAGACAGGCATCAAGTATTACCCCGCTAAGATCGAAATTAAAAAAGTCCCATTATGCAGCGAACACCTATTTACTCCAAAAAAATTAGTGGCTGTGAGCATCAAGGACGGACACCCAGAGCTCAACTAGCTTGCGTCTGCAATAGATGTTTATGACGTCCCTTATATCACCATATCAACTGCAAAGAGGATCGAAATTGGGAAGGTAGAAGTGCTCATTACAAAATATTTTTTAAGAAAATAAATCTGGCAATATCTTTTTACGAGGTAAAATTGACTATGTGCATTGTAGGAAATATACCCGACGTAATAAAATAACCATTCTTAGATAAAAAAAATCTCCCAAATTAAAAATACTTAGTAATGGGAGGGATTGAAGCAATTCAGCCGATGTTCGGTAAGATTCGTTGCTATAATTTGCCTCAGCCTAGTAATAAATTACTCAAGGATGGAAGCTTCATCGCGTTCAGCAAGGCCCTCCAATCTTGATCATTAGGAATAGAAGCTTGTATTTCCTTATTGGTCTACTAAAATAATTCTATTAAGGGATCTTATACATCACCGCTTAGAACGGGAGGGAGATAGTGCCTCATCTTCAGCTTTGCCCTCCAAGTATTCCATCAATGATCTCGCCAAGCCATGATTGTCACCTTTTATTTTCATTAGGCAAGCAACTGATGGTAAAATGAAATCAAACAGACAAATGAGGAATGGAAATGAGATAGTGGTTTCTTGCCTCGGATGAGAAAACACTTTATGAGTGTGGGATACACAGCAAACTTGTGCCTCAATGAAAAGAGGTGATGGAGTGGAACGGTGATTGGTTCAACAAATAGAAATTAAGAAAATCCCAGCGTTAATATTCACTAGAAAAACCCACGCGCTTATTGAGTTATCCTACGTGTAAGTATTAAAGTTAATACTTTGGTTATTTTTTCAACTCTCGGTTTTAATAACGGCCCACATGGGGGCTCCCTATTGTACCTCCGCCAGGGAGCAAGGCCTTCAAGTCATGGCAGTAGACCCCCAGCCCTCCTGTATATCGACAATACATATTCTGCCCGAGCACTATGTCTTCTTTTGTCTTCAGGGAAATCTTAGAGTGCTATATTAGTGGCAGCGGAAAACGAACCTAATCGTAAAAGACGTTTACCCTGATTTCCACCGCTGACTGATAAACCTTAGCGGGGTGGATAAGTGCCTATGCTGCAAATAGAAGAATCTGTGACAACCCCTAGTAGAAGAGCTGAAAGTGATGCCTAACTTTGGCATCTATCCCAGTGCCGTGATCTGCAGGAAAGACATTAGGACTAGCTATGGATACGTGTAATGGCCAGCATGTATTTTCGAACCCTCCCCACTCTCCCAGTACAGTTTTCAAAGATAACAACTTCAGATCCGGTAGAATTGTCAAAAGGAATCGGCAACGTTGCGGCCAAGTATCTCCTCAGGTAGATGGGAATTCGATGACCGGCATGGCCAGCTCGTAGATGTTTTGGTTATGGCTTCGGTTACGTTTTGATGGCTGACGCGGGAGGTTGATCAAGGAAAGCGCGAAAGATGACGCACAAAAGAGGAGAGGGGCTGTGTAATATGCTACGTGTTTGTTTAGCTCTCAGTTTTGGTAATGGGACACTTAAGGTCTCCGCCTATACACCCAACCTTTATCTATGTCGACAATATGTGTCCAGCCAGTATATTATGTCTTCTTTCGCCTTCAGGAAAGTCTTGATGCACCACAGTACTTTTATTTTCAATTAAATGTATCAACTTATTTTAAAATTGGTGTAGAAAGCTTACACATTGCGTGAAGCAATTTGTCTAAAGACCACGCTTGACAAAAGCGTGTTGATTCACCTCGACAACATTCCTACGTAATTTTCCTTAGGGTTAGTTAACGACATATCAGGAGATTGCATAGCGGTAATCTCGTTGAAACTCAACTATACCAGAGTCCTCGCTAAGGAAAAGTACTGATATTAAGCTTACCATTTTTCCTATCCAGGACAAACTTCGTCTTTTTGCCTTTCGCAGAGTTGGGTGTCCTTTTCATTTCCCTTTTATTATCACGGACAGCTCTCCACACCGTTAAGGGTTGATAAATTACATGAGAAATGAGTTTTATTTCGATTGTCTCTAGTCAACATTAAAAAGGAAATGGTAACTAGTACACTTTGTGATCACGAGGCAGCACATGCAGCTGGGAGGTTCCAAACGTGTATTTTGAAAAGGTAAAAATTGCGGTAGAAGTAGTGATTAATTAGTCGTAATCAAACTTCTAATGCAACTAATTCCATCTGGTGAGCCGACTGATCATGCAATTTGTCATTGCGTGGTTGCGGATCTTATCCGGGATGAGAAAAACAGAGGTTCTACCATATTGTAGGGAGAATGGGTGTCGGGAAAGTGTGAGTCCAGAGGATTGAGGCAAATTTTTCCTTCCTATAGTTCACAAAAGATCGTACTAGCGCAAAGAGCAGCGGCCATCAAGAGTACTTAAAATGAGGTTTCAAGGAAGCTTCAAGGCTAAAATTTGTTTAACTTACACTAATATGTGGCTTTCTCAGTCTCCTACCGACCGGTCTTTGCTTTGCTGGTGTGGAGCTCTACCTACTCTTTCATCTCTTCTGTGCGCTAACGATAAGGCTACCTTCCAAAATCTCGCCTTATTACAGTCAGGAATAATTCATAAATGGGATTACAATCAGAACAGTTCTTTGGTACCTACCGGTCGAACACCGAGGAGTTTCTTGAAGAGACGACTGAATAATTGATTCTTCCAGGCATAAGAAACGGCATAGAGTTCTTCGAGTCGTCGAACCGTAAGAAATCTGTAGATATCCAAACCCTTCTCCAGTAGCAGTTGTACAAATTCCAAGCGATCGTTGATTAGGGCGTCTGTCATTGCATTCTCCAGGATCGGATACTAATGAAAGGAGGCAGAATTCAACGTAAGGTTCGTACCACCTCGACGGTCTTAAAGAGGGACGCATGCACGCTATCCGCATGGCAGTTTCATGACGCTTGTTACATGAACATTTTTTAAGTTTGGGCGTAAAAAATAAAAAAGGGTGACCATGTAATAAAAGAAACTTTTATTGTACCACTTTACGATCAGGCTTGAACGAGAAAGTTAACTTCCTTTGAACTTGAGCTATCACGGGTTATTTGAGTTTTAGGGTCTCAGAAGTGTGGGTCCTATAAAGAGGTAGTTATGCCTATCATCCAACGAAACTTGATTCAATTTAGATATAGATTCCCCACAATCCGTTTCTTTTAATTTCATATTTAGAATCTCACCACCTAAGTCATTCAAAATCTCATCTTTGAAAGGAAATCCAGTAAAAAAAATTAGTCAAAAGGGAAAAAAGATAAAATAAATGGTTGATTTTTTAAAAAAGGCAGGCACCTTCTCTTGCAGAAGACCTTCAATACCAAATCTCTTAGCCTCCAATAAAATTTTTTTTCTGTCACTTGCAAGTGCAAAGATCAAAAGAGATAAGTGGAAAAGTGCGGCACTGCTTATCATAATCAGGGCGTAAACATAGGTCGTTCTTGCTGTTGACTTTTGTGAGAAAAAAAGTCCTCAACGCAGTGCATGTATCACAAGAGTGAGAGCACTGCGCTCTTGGAGAAGCAGGGAGGAATGCAAAGGCACCACCCTTGCTGAGCCACGATAATGGAATCGTCAAGGCACAAGATCGTGAACATATTCTCATTTAGTACAAGGGAAGATGCATGGTAATTGAGGGCTATTAAAGAGGTATGGTGTTTGTTATAACTACGACGCGGGTGTTTTCAGTTCTCCGTGATTAGGCTTTTATCTAAGCTCCCAACGACCTCCCATTCGCTCTGCATAGAGGACGTTAAAGTCACATCCAAATTCCAGGGCCTTCAGAGGTCCTTCGAGTTTCAAGTGGTCGTCTAGGGCGTCTTCAGCTGAATGCTTAGTGAGTCTGAAATTCTCTTCTCAGTTTTACTGTTTTTTCATCCTGGATGGAAAAGGGAACGGAAGACTAACCAGAGCCACCCAACGGGGAAACGAAGTACTCGTCAATGAAACTAACTGGAAACTTTCAATCCCAACAACAGTAATGATACTGTTAAATTGCCAAATTTCGAACCTCACTTTTGATGTTCTTTTCGAAAAATTACTTATTCCTATCTACTCACTAGCAGAGCGTTCCATTTAAATGGACTTACAATTAAAGGATGGATTCAAAATATTTCCATTTTCAATGGCTCAACCAGTTTCACCACATAAAGTTGGTGTTCCAGGTCAGGGGTAGAGCATTCATTCGCAAATCTCACCAATTCTAATATGCCAAATACATGAACCCTCGTTCGGATCAAATACCGGGTTTTTAATGATCAGGAAAGCATAGCAGTTCGCTCACAACGCCATGCCAGAGACAAACGAAAACAGAGACAAAATGATGGGCAACCTACCGACCAGTCGTTGACATTGACAAGGATTCGCGATCGTGCGATGTCAGGACGTTGCCATGCCATGGTAAGTGAAAGCTGATCTGCCGGTGTCAGATTCTGCCCAGGAGCTGAGACAGAGGGAGCAAAGGAAAGACACCTCAATCTAAATCGTCGTTTCACCATTCAACAAGATGCACCAACTGCACAAATTTTGAAGACTCATTTTTGGACCTCCCAATTCGTTTTTCGACTCTATCTCTCGAGGTTCATTTGGGTTCCTGATTTTTACCTTCAAGATCTACCAGTTGAAAAGTCTGAGCGGGTAGTGTTGCTGCTTCTAACCAAATCCGATGCCCGGAAAGGCGCCGATGTCCAGCTTAGTTCAAATAACACTGTCCACTTCAAGATATCACCTTAAAATTTCCACACTCTAGACTGTGAAAGTGTAAGGTCTTCAATCCACACACCACTTGTTTTCTTTCGTGTTCTGATTCTGTATTAAATACCTGTATGTAGATCCATGCGTCCATGGGTCCAACTTTCAGCTCATTAAAACAATGCGTTTTGTATACTTTGGATTTCTCGCTGTCTCTAGGACTAGATCTACTAAATCGAGGAGATGAATTCCAGCGAAATCCATAGAATGTATCTCAACTACGATCCCAATCTTTGGTAAATCGTAACTGCTTGCCTCCCCAACAATCACTCAAAAACTCTAAGAGAAAGTCCCAAAAGATGACGTTACGGTCTTCACATTTCTGTGAAAAGCAGAAAAGCCTTTCACAGACCCCCTACGTCTCACGTGTGAAAAAGCAAAAGCCTTTGACTCACCTTGAAGCAGTGCAGTTAGAATTGTTAAATCAATTTCATCCGAGGTTCCATCACCCATCTGAAAGACGCTTAACTGAAAAATGACGGAAAAAAGACAAGGTAACACACCTACACCCAGTTGGTATGCTAAGAACATAGAGCCCCCTCCCCGTAGGTCGCAAATGAATTCACGGATGTAAAATTAGTCTTGAATACTGGACCGGTTCTCAATAACGTCTGATGATTCTGTATACGATTTCGACGTGAGTTGAATTGTTCCCCTCTACTAAGCGAAGCTGAGTTCCCCTCCCAACGTATGAAAGGCAATTTTTGATTGTATACCCTCAAGTCTAAGGCAGTGCCTGATTTTGCCAACATTCGACACTATAGATCCATTGCCTTAATGGAGGCAGTAGTCCTAAAAATTCTTAAAATCACTCGTTTCTTTTTATCCGCCTTTTCCAAGTTCTCTAAGACCCAAGTAAATAAGTGATTCATTTTTCCGCTCTATAAGAAAACTAGGGGATGCTGTATCAATGGCTACATTGCCCACGACGTCTTCATCCGCAACAGGACAATCTCAAGCCGGCTGTAAATGGCTTAGATCTTGTTATCCGCGATGCCACGCTTCAAGCTAATGTAGACACACCTACTAGCTATTTAGATCCACCTACGGCAACATTGAACTTACAAATAATGCTATTTTCCAAAGAAATTAGTTGTATGGACAGAAAATAATTACAGGTTGCTGCAATCTGGTGGCTGCATTTAAGTCTTCTTCCCTATAATTATTAAGAAGAGTTTCGATTCGACAATTTCGCAGAATCAACAACGATTAAATGCATGCATATTCACAGCTGATTTTGACGGTAATAGTGTCATTATCATGGTAATCCTATCTACGATTCTGGACCTCCGCCTCTTCAATATCACCAATTCAAATGATATGTAAGTGTTGCAACACGAACATTATAACCCTTCAAAAAACATTTATTGGCTGAAACAAACTGTTTGAGCATAACCATATGTCGGCTAAACTGATATTTTAATATAAAAATATACTTCAAATTTCGTTATGTTTCAAGCATCGGTTAAAAATTACTAAATTGTATTCAGAAAAAAGGCAGGAATGGCTCACGAGATTACGACGCTGCATGCACAGCTGCATGTCCAAGTAGAGAGTTTCTGCCTCGGCCTGTTTAATCTGGAAGGTTCGTCCAATATTAGCAATCATTTGTCGTCGTAGATTCGGCACCAGGTCTCTGTGACGAAAGGCAATCAATTTACCGAACTCCTCTCTCAATTTTCAATGCTTCTCCAGGCAGGATAGCACTTAAGAACAATTTTAAACCAAGTAGAAATGGCTAAGACCCAACTATAAGCTCGAACATCTTCACAAAGCATGCCCAGATAGCTAGATGCAAGTTTCTTGCGGTACAGTGAGTGAATAAATGTATTTTGCTCGCTTGGAGTACTTTCCTGGCTGTTTGTAAAGAGTAAAGAATTTCATCAATAGGCAAAGTTAACTCCTTTCAAAACAATCGTAACGAGAGGAAAAGGGGTGGAGTAGTCTGAAAGACTCATAAAAACTGGAGATTTTCTAAAGATTAAGATGTTTGAGGAACGAAAAACGGTTCAGTCTAGTGTACCAAAGGAGGTGAACGGCTAAAATGATGACATCTTTTAACCTTTCGATATTACAGGGGCCATTGATAATGATACTTAGGTGTAACTTCAGCACTGCAGAATGAATTGAAACAATTTAGAGCGCTACACAAGTCTATGGAAATGAAGCAATAGCATGTCACACTGCTTCAATCATTTTGACAGATTTTAAGCTAAAAGAACGTTGGTTCTACCGCGTCCAACTGATCACTAGAAAACTGGCTATAACACGAAACTGAGTTAAGTAGGAGAAAAGTGCAAGGGGAACGAATTTGAGGCGATTGATGTAAAAATCGTCATCCCATGGCTCGACCCTTTGATACGTGTTTAACAGGAGCAAAAGACTATAGAGGACAGTGACTGGCTCTTTATGGACGATTGAAGGTGTGATGGAGCGAATTTCAAAGGTTCCTTTGATACCAGTAGAACCGACACAAAACTTATAACGATTGACGCACTCTATATTGGGCACAAGAGACGAAGTTAAGCACCAGATCAAACAAAGGAATGTGCACAAGTGAACTCATTCAGCAAGAAAGTTGGTCCAAAATGAATTTATACTCTGATTATGACATCCAAATAAAGGTAAACCCTAAGCACAGGTAGGTCAGTTGACGCTAATGAGTGGCTTCAGAAAATATCTCAACGGAAACAGGATCTTTAACGATGTTAATTGATGAAAGAAACGACTAGATTACCTGATACGATAGAAGGAATGGCGCTACTTATTGTTACTGAAGAGTAAAAGAGGTTGGGACAGCCTATTAAGGGAGAGGGTGGACAGTGTCTAACCCATCATTTCGGAATTGTGACTTCACAACATAGGAACAAAGTTGATAGGTGACCATCGAAACGGACGTGAAGACGCATTAAGAAAACGTTTCAAAATGAACTCATCCTTTATGCACAGCTTTCGTGCAGATCAAGCGGAGTAATGAGGGTGGGAAATAAGGAAGGTGCTCTAGGAATTCCTCCTATATGAAGACCACTCATCGATAGTGACAAGTAAGAGAACCAAACAGAGCGTCCGGTTACATATAGCTTCACTTTGAGCGCAACAACACAGAACTACTGCCTTCATTAGAGATGACAGAAACGAGGCACTTTTACCATTTAGAAGACAAGAGCGAGACGAGGAAGCCGAATTAGAAGATGGTGATAAAGGTGAAAGGAATGCAGGCATCAAGGGATATCAAGGGTCGTTAGAAAATCGGATCAGGTAAGACTTCATTTTGGTAACGGGAGACAGATAGATGAATACGCCAGTCCAGAAAAAAAGGGGCTGTGGGAGACCAAACGACTGACCCATCAGGCTCAGCATAATGGTACATGAAGGCCAGCAGGTCTGCGGCGCGTCCGGAGCCATCGCAAATGATCACGGGAACGGGATTGCGACCGGTGAGGAGTTCGAAGACTGTGCGGAAGGTCTGGTACCCACCTTCTATCAGCACGCCTACCACCGGCACTCGTGACTTGTGGCCGCCTGTAGACAAAAAATGAGAAGAGATTTGCAATTGAATGAATAATAATTGCAGAAATTGTATGCTTCACACTTTCACTACGAGCACCACATATTTTATGCCCTAATACTATCTCTATCTCTACCGAATATTATTTTGAACAAGTTATTTGATGTAGAAGGTTAGTGGCCTAAAGAAAAACGGATTTTTTGTTTTTGACCAATAACTGAAATAGTAAAACGGACAATCAAAGTCATATAAGAACAAAAACATCCAGATTCTTCGCTGAAACCCCGGTAACGAGCGCATCAACTATGTGGATCCGATGAAGTTAAGCTCGGATAAAAAAAATGATTAACTAGGTGACTGAGTAATTAACTACCTGAGTTCATACACTTTTATCGTATTAGAAGAATGTGGACTTCCTATTTCCCACTCCCTACTCATCCATCCACTTATCCAGCCTGCTAAATATGCTAGATAAACCAATCTATGTTTCAATTGCGACATCGCACTCGCTAATGTTGGTTTCAGGAGCTGCTACACGAAAGGCTAAAGAAACTTCATTTTTCCTTTGTAAATTACGTTATGAGCTTTAGAAGATTGTTGAATTGAATGCAATGATGTCAAGATAGAGTTACCCGACGTTCTTCAAACAGTAAAGCCGACATCCCCTTTAATGTTTCGTTCTGTTTACTGTTCACTTCAAACTCCGACTTTGGCTAGCAACCACCGCCTCGTAAGAGCAACTCCTCACAGACATATGGTGAAATTAATGTGATGGGACATCAACGATAAGCGTTTAGTGATACGCGGATAAAGATGAATAGTGAACAAACGCAGAAAATGAGCTTGAGGAATTTTATCCTATTGGACGACTTTGGTATTAACTAGGCATCAGTCACGTGAAAGACCTGTGTGGAAATCACGGTGGTTGACCTGATGCTGATTGACTACCATGGGAACCAGAAGTTGGATATTTTTTAAAGGGGTAAAATATTCGCTTAACCTACAAAAAACATGGCCGTGGACCTTCTGTGATTTCATCTACCACTCCCCTTTATTTTGAAATGAAAGTTTACCCATTTTTTAAGTACATATCTTTGCCCCTTGCTTGGTGAATAAAAAAGTTTGCTCGCCAGTTTTTGGATGGTACTTTAGCTGCATAAATTCTGACCTACCGATTACTTAACATCACGTTTCTGTCCTCCTTCCTCCATAAAACGATCTGATATTTACACTGAAGTATTGACACTTCTAGCAAAAGTACCCTGATTACATAGAAGTGCATGATATTGTTGATGTCAATTTAAAGTCAGGAACTTTTCAGCAGTTACGCGTAATCCGCCGGTGTTCCACTAGAAGTGAGATAGCTTTCGTGGGCCCTTATTCCTAACGGGTGCTTTAAGATGAGTCAGTTATTGCACAACTTGGGGTAATCGTGTTGAGGTAGTCACAGTATCGTGCAATAGAATGCTGTTTTGGATTGGAGTTTACAAGATGAATACAGAACTACAGGGATTAGATCAAGGAGAAGGCAATTTCTTCATCCCCAACTAAGTCTTCCGAACAGAGAGGACAAATATTCAAAAGACACGTGGAAATAGATCTGTGAGGTCAAGGGGAAAACAAATGGCTCAGTGTACATAAAAACCAATCCAATCCTTTCCAAAAAGATGTGACTTCTAACCTATCTTTTGAAACTCAGAACGTAAGAATTTTTTGACGCGACATTGGTATTAATGAGGTCATAGCCGAATCAAACATTCATATTCAGCTATCCCAGAGCCAATTCATCTGCTATTCCTCTGTTTTCACGAGTCTTTTCCAAGATATAATTAGACGCCAAATTGGTATGGTCATGATCTAACCTTTCGTTTCGCTCGCAGCCAATTACGTTAGAGAAAACTTGATTCACAAAATGGCTGAGATGAGTTGGTGATTCTGACACCCCTTATGTCCAAAAAAAATCATTTGAAAAGAGACCCTATTTGTATGATGTCATTTTTTTTAGTTTCACATCAAACTGACAACTGTTACATTAAAACAACGTGACAAGTGTTGATACGTGACCTGCAAATTTCGAAGGACATGTAGTTTATGAACCAGCTCCATAGTAATCTAAAAATGCTGCCATAACAGCTAAAAAAACGGCAATGACTTCTCCGAATAGAACGCGGCGTGGCAAAAAACCGGTTAATTTGGTTACCAGAGCCAAAAATGAATGACTGAAAAAAAAATCATTAAATTGGTTGGCACTCACATCACATGGTAGGAGATCTTTGAGATGAAGGTCCGCATTTTACTAGGAATAGCCTAAAGAACAGCAACTTACATGCCACAGGATATGCACCAGAAAAGACCCTAGAACGTCATCTTATACCTTCCGCCTAGGTTTGCCATGAAAGGTAGAAATGATCGAGATCATTTCATCTGATTTTGCGATTTGAATTAGTTGTTGTTGTAGATTCAAGCCTGTTTTGGTAAAGAGGCCACTTCAATGCTCCGCCATTGTACCTTCGTCGAGTGGGCTGGCCTCCAGGCCATGCCTGTAGCCCCTGACCCTACTGATATCGAATATATATATTCTATCCGAGTATTGCCTTCTCCCATCTCCAGGGAAGTCTCAGAGCGCCACATTAGTGACAGCGGAAAGCAAACCCCATCCTGATTTCTACTGCAAGGTGAAAGAAGTGCCTATGCTGCGGATGCAAGAATCTGTGACGACTCCTAGTGGAAGAGCTAAAAATAACGTCTAACTTCGGCATCTATCCCAGTGCCGTGGTCTGCAGGAAAGCTATTAACAATTGAAGCGACACCAGCTGTACTCGAAAATCATCTGAAAAAGTTCGTTACGGACCTATCTACAGTTCCTATATGAAAATATCGCCTATTTAAGCTCACGATACCACCTCCGCTCCCTTACGAATTGGATGGAACCTAGATAGATAGGTAGGTAGATAGATAGATGTAGCAGGGCAGTACTGAAGTGAGAACGATGTGACAAGGAAGAATAGATGAAAAACCCGACCCCCGCAGAACCATTTTAAACTCGTCCATTGCTTTAGACTCTGCCTTTGGTCCAGTGTTCCTCCGACTTACCATGGACACGTGCGATGGCGAGTACATTCTCTAATCCTGAAATCAAGTTCTCAAACAGGGCAAAACTCCGGATGCAGTAGTTGCCAAGAGGAGCTAGTGAAGTTGGGGTCAACTGTCTTCTTAAATGGATAAAATTTTGGTGGCTAGCACGGCTGATTCCTGGGTGCTTTTCTTACAACGTTGTAATAACTGATGCGCAAGGTTGATCAAGGGAAGCGCCAGGGACGATGCTCAAAAGAGGAGAGGGGCTATGTATTACATTGGTTGTTCGTTTAACTCTTGGTACTGGGAAAGGGGTTACTTAGATGCTCCACCATTGTACCTTCGCCGAGGTGGACTGGCCTCCAGGCCATGATAGTAGATCCAAGTCCTACTGTATGTTGAATATGTATATTCTGCCCAAGTATTATGTCTTCTTCCATCTTTAGAGAAGCCTCGGGACGCTGAATTAGTGCAAAGCAGGCAAAATTTTGACGGAACTATCAATTAAAAAGCAAAATTTAGACTTGTCACATGTTTTCTCTATCTTCAAGGCGAAATTCACCCCCATTTTGGACTGTAACGCCGAGCATGAATTTATAAAGAAAACAAAAAAGTTGTTTGCGATTAAGATAAGCTTGTTTACGCGCCAACACTTGTTTATTCGCTTTCAATGGAATATGATTGGCCACTTAGATGCTCCGCCATTGTACCCTTGCTGAGCGACCTGGCCTCCGGGCCGTACCATTAGCCTCAAGCCCTTCTGTACGTCGGTAGCACACATTTTTTTCTGAGTATTATATCTTCCTTCACCTTCAGATAAGTCTCGGGACGCTACACAAACATTTAGATCCCTCGAAAAGTAGACGAGATGAAAATAACTGAGAAATTTGGCTCCTTAATTTAAGAGAATTTCAGTTTCTGGCAGTTTGATACCTTAATATACCATAATCTTCTGAAAAGAAGTAAACGACGATGAAGACAAAGGACTGTGATACAATTGTAGTAAAAATTTGACATGTTTTCGATAAGCGACAAACTCGCACGGGGGTGATTTGGAACATCCACATTTACGTAACTCGATTCTAGCCTGATTATAATAGTGAGTCCATCATTTACTTAATTTAACTTTATCTGTTAGCCTAGAAAATTGTTTTTATAAACTTAAACTATTCTCATCACAAGATATCAAGTAATAGAAGGAGCTGAAAGGAGGAAATTTAGCACGAACCTCTTCCTTGGTAGTTATACTTTTCGATTAGCCTTGAAAGCAATCAAATCAAGCTATTGAAATTATAGACTGCTGTCAAGGGAGTATACTACTTCAGAAATGCTTTTCTCAAATCAAATCATAACTCCCTAACGAACTAAACAATTTGTTAATCACAAAATAGGCGTGCCCACAAAGACACCTTAACAGAAAGGAGCGTCTCGATTGCTTGGTAGAAAACAAAAATAAGCTTACTTTCCTCCCAGTACTTGGAGATTCACCAAAACAAAAGAGACTGACGACTAAATGCTAAAATAAGTTATACTAAATATGCACTTTCATTAGAGCCAGATTCACCGCCTTTCTAATTGCCCATGACTGTGCAATAGGGAGCAGCGGGGATAACTCTTCAAATATAAGGTTGTTAACATCTATAAATAACCAATCAAGCAGTAGCTTTAATTAAAAATACTTGTGAAGATTGTTGCGAAATGAGCAGGATAAAAGTGGCGGAGATTCGACCAAATCTGCTGTGCAATGGGAATGAGTCGGTAGATGACACGTAGTACGACATTTAATTCTCTGTATAAATATTATCCATCAGCCGCGTCAGATGGCGGATATCTTCTTTATGCTCCTGCTGATCATTTTCGAAGCCAATGTCTAAGGAATTCCAATTCTGATTGAAGCCTCTTTCATTCAGAGGCTTTTGGATTCATGTCAAACGGAAGAACGTTGTGCCTCGTTTTTAATTATCGCAAAACGTGGTGAAAAGCCGAACGTTGTTTAAAAATGCCGTCTGCCTGACAAAAAATTTGACCCTTCATAAAAGACTCATCCGACACACCCAAAGTGAATACTCTCAATGCACAAAGCATTTAAACAAACCATTACCACTGCAATCTTAGAATTGTTAGTGCGATAAGCAGCCCCACGAAAACAAACCGGACGCCTTCTGTCATTGTATAATTGCATTCAGCACATGAAGACATTTCGACACATAAAATATGCCCAGTTACTGCGATTCTGTATTTCCCAAATTTCAAGGTAGTATTACCACAATTGCCACCGAGTTACATCCAATTTATCAATGTCAAATGCTAATGCAAACTGCAATTCGCCGCTGAAAGAGACTTCGGTGTAGGGAATTTACTGAAGTGACTTATGTCACATCTCCATTTGGCACTCATTTGCAGCGCAGAAATCCATGAAATAAATTTCCTGACCTTTAGAAATATCATTTGAACGGTATTTTGGTGGTCGACCACTGCAACAGTTGTGGCATTGAAGGACAACGCCCTTGGTATGTAAAACATCGTTTTTTCTTCTTCAAAAGCGGAACAGGTTGAAGGTACGGACAAGTCTTTTTTCCTATTTTAAAGAAGGTAGAGATTGTTGAAATAAAAATTGCACCTACGAGAGTCTTGCACTTACTAACAGAAAGGCGTACCGAATGCCCTCTCCCCGCGGATTTCAGAAAGAATACAGCGTGATTAACCAGACGTAAAAAATTTGACAATTTAATACGGTTCATCCTCTTTGCTGTAGCAGCAAATTGATGCAAACCTCAAGAAAACTGTTTCCATTTCGTTACTGCAGAACTTATGCGTCCAACTGCCTTGGTGATTTAGCTCAAATTGGACATTGATTTCGGAATACTAGCGTCATCGAACCTTGATGTTGCCGTCACTTCACGCATTTTTTGAGTCACAGTGAATTTCAGTGCATTAAGAGGTCACTTAGCCTCTCGGTGCCACCCCACCTCTAAGACCCATCGACTGACGCACCACACGTTTTCCGTTAGTCCAATCTTTGGCGTTTGCAGCAAAATGTTCCAGAAGACTACTGGATGATCGACCACTATGCCCACCATAAAAAATTCAAGGTGAAGCAGCAAATCTAATGCTTTAAAATCTAGTGGTAAAACGAATGCTTTATATTTCATGATGATAATTAAGTATAAAAAAGGAGGACCATCGCCGTTAATTAAGGAATGGGGACGCAAATGAACTTCCAGCGAACTTAATGCTACACCTCCCGTTTTTTTTGCATTAAAATAAAAGACGGCAAATCATTGCTTGGGGTAGTATTATCAAGAAGATACAGAGGTCGAGGATGAGACACTATCCTCTCCCGTCCTGGGGTATTGTATGAGGTCTTCACACGCTCTTACAAAGTCCTCAGGCTACGAACATTCTACACCTATCTCACTGTTTGAAACTCGAGTTGTTTTAAACAATTCAGTGCAACAAATGGTTGTTATTAAAAAACAGATGTCACACTTTTGTGACGCCAAACTAAGGTAAGAATATCGGGATGTGACGCATGTGTGGTGTAGGTACTGGAAGTGTCGAACCAATGTGGGAAAAACACTCAGGTTGAATATACATTGCCAATAAAACTAACGCCAGATTCTCTCGTCACTTTGCGGTTACGAGTGAAAAGCAAAGTAACCCACCTAGTCTGCGCAGGCCAATAGGCTGTTGTGCGAGGTACTGTTCAAGACGACGTCGGAGACAGATTTCGGCGGTGGAAAACTTGCCCGATGTTCCATTGTCCGCCAGCAGGAAGTAGTTGTGGTGCGGGTTCAGGGCTGTCTCCTGTCTTCCCGCCAACGTACCTTGTGCGTGATACTGACAGGTGTGCTGTGGCCAAAACGCATACATAAGCTAAGTCGAACCAGTTTTGTGTTAAGCTAAAGCGCGTTTCTTGACCAACCAATTGTGTAGCCAATTAACAACTGAAGGCTACATTTGAAGGGGCGGAATTCACTGGTGTTAACACATGCAGTTCACCGTCCAGCACATTTCATTGTACGAACCGTTTCGCAGCTCATCTAATGGATATTAAACGATACAAGTATTTGCTCGTGGTTGGACTCATCAAAGTCCACGGATGGTTACAACACCATGGTGAATAAATTGAAGGGTCATGATTCCACCAATTAAAATTTGAACCCTGAGGTTATCAAAGGTCAGTGTAAAAAAGCAAAGCACCTAGAATTCTCTATTTTTTTCCATAAAATGGCATAACGATGTCTGTCTTCCTCAGGTGTTTAATCAAAAGTGAGAAAAAAGGGGTTTATATAAATGTAAGTAAAAACCATTCAGGGTTGGAAAAGAGAAGAGAAGAGGAGATAAGCGAAGGGGAGATAAAAGACTCACATCAATGCCAATGAGCATGTTACGCTGCTGCACTACACCCCAGGGCGCAATACCAAGAGCGACGATTTTGGAGCCGCGAACGTGCACCTCCTCACCCAGTGCCTCGCCCACGTGCCGTGTCACGCCTATAGTAAAAAAAATGGACAAAAGAGAAACATAATGATTGAATTCCACTAGATCGGAAGAGTGCGACGCCCAGTGTCATTTTAAGTAGCGTGCTCCTAGATTTCTTCAAAAAGGATTCACATGGCACTGCAAATTCATATTTTCGTTAACCGTAGAAGTAATCAAAGCGTCTCAATGGTCGATTTTCTCAACCGTTGTGAAAGAAGGTGTCCAATGTACGGGTTAACTTTATAACCCTGACGGTTAGACAAAAGGATGGAGCATGTTAATGGATTAATGGCTGGTGTCCAGAAAACTCAAAAATAAGCAATAAACAGCATTGATTGCATTACTCACATTTCAGTGAGCACTCATCAAAACTGCCCATGTGCCTTGCCCCGCCCATGCCGTTGCGATGGAAATAAATATTTCAAACATACGATGGCTGTTTCTTTAACTCTCGATTTTGGTAAACATGCCACTCAGGTGCTCTGCCATTGTGCCCTCGTCGAGTGGGCTGTCCTCTGAGCCATGTCGGTAGTACCAACCCCTACTGTACGTCAATAATGCGCATTCGCCCCGAGTATTATGTCTTCTTTCGTCCTAAGGGAAGTCCTAACGCGCTGCACTGGTGGCAGTGAAAAGTGAACCCTATCTTAAAGGACGTCTACCCTGATTTCCACTGCTGGATGATAAACCTTAGCAGGGCGGAAGAAGGTCACATGATGAGGTCGAAAAGATCTGTGACAGTGGCCGACAGAGGGGTTAAAAATGTCTTCCACCTACGGCAACTATCCCAGCCCCGTGATCTGTGGGAAAGCAATTAACAACCAAAGTGACACTAGTCGTGGGCCTAAACCTTCTGGAAAAGTTCGTTACGGAGCTGTCTGCCGTACCTCTATGAAGATATCAATTATATGGATCCGGGATACCTCCTCAACTTTTCTACTAGCCGGATGAAGCCCAAAGAGATAGATACGGGTAGGTAGCACTGATGTGTGAAAACAGTGGCAAGAAGGGATAGGCGCAAAACTCTAACCCCCACGCAAATATGGCAAGTCCCGTCTTTTGTTATTTGGCTCCGCATTTAGGTCAGTGTTCTTACGCCTATCTATGGACACGCTTGATGGCCATCACATTTCCCGTCCCCGAATCCAGTTCCTGCACAGGAAGAAACTCCAGATCCAGTAGGATTGCAAAGGAATATCGGGGACGTTGCAGTCAACTATCTCTTCATCTTCAAGGAAATTCGACAATGGGTACGGTTGGCTCGTGGGTCCTTATCCTCATAGCACCGATTACGTTGCGGTGGCTGACACGAGTAGCTGACCAAGGGGAGCGCCGAGGACGACGGTCAAAAGAGAGGGGGTATGTAATACGTTAGTTAATTGTCTAACTCTCCCTCCATCCCTCAAACAACTGTCACGCAATGACATCCGATATTGCAGTAATGATATATATCTTCAAAATCCGCGTCTAACAGACACTTTGACATCCTGCTCTTTCCACCTACAAATAAACTGATATATTGCTTTGATTATTCATTTAACTTTTCGTTTTAACTTTGTGGGCACTTCACGCTCCGCGGTTGCACCTTTTCCGACGGCATGGCCTCTGAGCCATGCCAGTAGTGCTCTGCTATTCTGTACGTCGGCCCACACAGCGTCAATCAATTAACAAGATGAATTGCTAATAGTAAACTGTGTCATTATGTGCCGTCACAAATTATTTCTAGAGAGAAAACTGCTTAATTTCTCGGAAAGCTGAGTCGAAAAATCGTCCAATAATCAGATTTACCCAACGCAGTAATATACAAAGATTCTTTTTCTCATAATCTGAAATTCTACGGATTTGAACCAAAGAATCCTTTGGAGGGAACTTGACAAGCGCTAGACAACCAGCTTCAATAAGGTAAAAAAGCCATTTAAGATTTGATACGACGGGCAATCAGAAGTTTGGGGATGGCGGTTCATCATCCTACATGTTCCGCAGTAACTAAACTCTCAGCATAGTTCTTTGTTTGCAGTCTATAAGACACGAATGATTCCTAGCAAGAGCGCTCGGCGTCACAAACCTGTGACGTGTTCTTTACCGGTTTATAAACATCATTGGCGACTCCACTAAATCATTTCCCAATCATATTAACTGAGTTCAAGACTCTAAAATAGATGTAGGAGGTTCATGGCTTGGGAGTACTTGTATGAAATCAGCCTCAAAGAACAAGGGACGATCTTCACCATATTTGAACGATCAAACATTGGGATGACTGTAGTGGTGAACGTGTTACGGCGACCTTCCCATTGGCTCACGATTCAGCCTTTTTGTTGACATTGCTATCGCTGTTTTCAAATTTTCAGTCCTCCAGACCCGCGGATAAGCTATCTAGTAGAATCATGGAACTTCAATGACTTCTTCAAGGCTAAATGAGACGCGAAGTTGGTAAGACGCACTTAGAGAAGCTTATATACCGACATTACCCAGCATCTTCTAAGCATATTCTCCCCTGCCCCTCCCAAAACTTTAATAAATTGAATTAGAATGGTGTCTGATCATGAAAAGGTATTAGTGGACCATAATATCTCTTACTCCACCACGTTGCAAGAAATTGAAAAGAAGAGCCGCAGACATCAAGGAAGAGTAGGGCTGCGTTTTCAGCTGTTATTTCAATCGTATCTATTAGGTCATCCATGTTCCTAGCCTTCCAACTCCCCTGCAACCCACCACAATGAAGAATTTTGTAGGCAGGGTAGTAAAAAGGCTTCACTCAGTCAAAATTGGACCGGGGTTGTACCATTTATCACAGCTTGGCAATTAGCAATTCAATGGATGGAAAATTCGCCTACCTACACAGCCACCCCCCTGCCTGTTCAGTCGACTAGGTAAGTGGGTTTTATGCAAATCGGTGTAAACTTTTAAAGACTTCCTCTTTTTCTTAATAAAATAGCCCAATAATCATGCCAATTGCGTATGTATGCACATGGGCTGAGGCTGATAATTCTCCTCCAGTTACCCAGACTAGGGTGCGATTCTTGTGAACAGGTGTTCCACTTTAAAAATGTCCCCCAAAAGCGCGTTAACTGCGCTAAACTTTTGGGGGACTTTTTCGTCTCCTAAACTTTGACAGCAGTCATTGGGGGAGGTTGATTTGTGCCAATGACCCCAACAATAAGGTTGATATCAGGCTTAACAATCAAATTTTCGCCTATTGCCTCACCTTCTTGGTTTTCCACGTCAGTTACCAAACAGATGGGTGAATCAAAAGGAGGACAGATAATAACACAGATTAACAGCATGATACGTGAATGGACAGACAGAAGATTTGGCAATTGAAAAGGCAGGTTGTGAGTCAGCTGGACAATTTACTTACCGGTATCCAGACCATTGGTGATGACCCATGCACCAGTGGTTTTGGCTGCCCTCAACAGGCCTCGCTTCACCACAGAGCCCAACTTGGCCTGAAGAGGCGCGTTGGCCAGACCCCCTAGCACTGAAATGACCAGACTGGGCACGCGCAGACGCCACTCCCGTAGCAGCAGCTGCACCACCGTCTCCGGTGGCGTTTCGTAGCTTAACCTCACGTACTAAAATATAGACGACACATCAGTAGCATGAGTTCGCCTCGACCACACCTACGCTACGTGGTGTAAGTGAAGTGAGTTTTTTACCTCGTGGCGTCACTATGAGTAGTAAATATTTTTGCTGTGATCTACGCGATATACACATAAGTCTGCAGAATTAGCTAGGTCGTTCAAATTAAACCGGGATTTAAAAACGATACCAGGGTGGTAGTAATTAGCAGGTTTTTCCATCACAGCCGATGCATGTTGTGGACCAGTCTTGACACCGACAGCTAAGACGCCAAGCAACACTTTTTTACATGAGTGGAACAGCATACGTTGATTTTATTGCAATGGCTTCTACCATGAAATAGCACAATGATCAAAGCTTACCACAGAAATGGTGTAAAAGAACATTCACGGAACTTTGCAATTTTGGAGAATCACAACATGCTTGGAGCCGAGTGTATAAATGCAGGGGGAGGCAATAGTTTTCACGCCTTATACTGCATTCTTTTTGTACCTCTTTCATAACTTCAAGCCTCAGGGATGACTTGGCCACTGTGCTATCGAGATTGTTGCATTAATCACTGGTAGTGTAACGGGATGAACTGGGTCTACGACAATGCCAGCTATGTAGGGTTTCAGCCATTGGCCTGCTCGTTATTTTGACCTCTAGTCCACATCTTTTATGATTTGACTGCTGTTAATCAGGCACATCACCGTTTGTAGTTGGGATAGGTAGATTCAAAATTCAAGCTTAGTTTCCCATATTTATCAGTATTTACTCGCGGATTCTTGCCTACTACCTTGTTACGTGGCCGTAGCTGGACGTTCGGAGAGCTGTGAATACAATGATTAGAGTGAAACCATTTTTGACCTTTTTAATCAACTCATAGATAATTCACCAAGGGTAAATTTATGCCCTAGGCACGCCTGCCCAAAAGAGACACGTGAAAACTCGCTGTTTCTTAGTATTTGACACGCGTGTTTCACATAGTCACAACTCTTGGTACATCAAAGTGCGGGAAAAGGGGATCTTCAAAACAGGGTTACGCCCGCAATAAACTCAGGCATGACTGATTATTTCTTTGCATTCCGTGCTCTTTAGTTCTAAGGAAAGTGTGAAAATCGTTAAAAAGTTCCTAAGGCTTCAAATCACAGTGTTATTTTACCAGTAATCTGATCCAAGTGGCATTCAACGTCGGGTTTTGGGCTATTTATGGCCCATTTTAGCTGTGATCCCTCAGGATAGCCCAAGATTTCCCAAATCACCTATAAAAAAGTAGATTTCAATTTTGACAAAAAGGAGTGGGCACCCCGGTTTCAATCATATTTCAACATCACACCAGTTAGTATTGCAAAAAATAAGTCCACTTGGAAAACCGTCACTTACAGGGCAGCAAAAAAATGGAAAAAGGGAAAGTAGGGAAATAAATTTGTGCAGTTTTTATAGTAAAGATCAACCAGTTGCAAAAAGCTTCTTAAAACACATTATTAGTTGGAAACAATCGCCATAAAAATCTATCATCCTTCCCAAAGGGATAAAAGCTTGCTGCAAATTCAACCTTTACGAAATATTTTGCCCC